ATGAGAAAAAAAATTCAATGGAAATTGACTCAGAAGTGACAGGATAAAAATAGACAATGGACATTGAAGCAGTTATAATTTTATTCCGTATGTATCTTCAAAAAGCTGGAGTAAAGATTGAACATGTTAAGTAGTGACACGTGATATATTTTTAGAGATATAGATATATGAAAGACCCAAATTAAATTTTAGAGATGATAAAACTACAAATCATGAGAGGAAAAATATGCTGAATGGGATAAACGTTAGATTAGACATTGTAGAAGAAATTACACTCGAAGACATAAGAATAGGAACTACACAAAATGAAGCAGTGAAAAAAGACTTAAAAATGAACAGCACATCAGTGAATTGTGGAAAAAGTTCAAGTGGCATAATAACTGGTGCTATGGTTTGAATGTGTGTCCCTCCAAAATTCATGTTTAAACTTAATCTCCAGCGTGACAGTATTAAAGAGGGGCCTTTTAGGAGATTAGGTTATGAGGGCTCCTTCCAGTCTGTGGTATTTTGTTATAGAAGCACAAATAGACTAAGACAGTTGGAGGTAGGAGATGGGATAGAACATATCTTTGAAGAAATACTTGTAGTGGCCAAAATTTCCCCAAATTTGATGAAAACTATAAAGCCACAGATCCAAGAAGCTCAACGAACCTCAAACACAGGAAACATAAGAAAAACTAGGCAAATCATAGTTAAATCTCTCAAAACCTGTTGTAAAAAGAAAATTGTAAAAGCAGCCAGAGGAACAACTATTAGTTATGTACAAAGAAACAAAGACGGGGATGACAGATTTGTCATCAGAACGGCTGTGAGTTAGAACACAGTGGAGCAACATCTTTAAAGTACTGAAAGAAAAAAAACCCCTGAAACCTAGAATTATTTACCCATTGAAAATATGTTTCAAAAAATGAATGTGAAATAAGGACTTTGCAGTGGAGCAACATCTTTAAAGTACTGAAAGAAAAAAAAACCCCTGCAACCTAGAATTATTTACCCATTGAAAATATGTTTCAAAAAATGAATGTGAAATAAGGACTTTTTTTTTTTTTTTTTTTTTTGGAATATTAAAAGCTGAGAGTGACTTCCACTTCTGGGAAGATGGGATAGACATACTTTTCCCTATTTCCCCCACTAAGTACAACTAAAAACCTGGACATTATATATGCAATAAATGTAACGAGCCTGAAAAATGAAGAGAAAAAGGCAACTGACCAAGGACCTAAGGACCCAAGGAATGACACAGTGGTGAGTTCCCTGTTCTCTTTAGTCCATGGACCAGAAAAGGGCCAGCCTAGCAAGTCACAGAAGCCATGTAGGAATGATTAATGAGGCACTCTACTCCTCCCAGCATGGGGGTGGTATCAGTAGAGACTAATACAGAGCTGAACCTCCCACCTTTACCCAGAAGTAACACCTCCCCACTTGCCTGTCAGTGAGGCCTATTGGGGAACCTGGACCTATACCCAAGCACCTCCTGGCAGTAATGAGGCAACACCATCACTTCCCCTGCTGGGGAGTGTCAGAGGAAGGGAGTGTCAGAGGAAGCTAGTTAAAACAGGTGTAAATAAGATCTAGAGTCTCATGACACAATGCCTCAAATTTCTAGGTTTCAATACAAAAATCACCAGTTTGAATGAGAAAAGACACCTAATACATGACAACAAATTGACATAGATATTAAAATCATCTGACAAGGATTTTAAAGCAAACACCATAAGCTTGCTTCAATGAGCAATTGCTAACATTCATATGAAAAAATAAGTCTCATCCAATAAATGAAAAATCTCAGCAAAGAAATAAAAGATATGAAAAAGAACCAAAAGGAAATTTTAGAATTGAGAAATACAATATCCAAAATAAAATCTCAGTAGAGTGGCTCAACAGCAGAATAAAGGAAACAGTAAAGAATCAGTGAACTGGAAAATAGAACAATAGAAATTATCTAATATGAACAAAAGAGAAAAAGAAACTGAAGAAATGAACAGAGCCTCAGAGAACCATGGGTCCATAAGAAAAGATCGAACATTCCTGTCATCAGAATCCTGGAAGGAGAGAAAAAAGACAGCGAGGCTTAAAAATTACTCCAAGAAACAATGGCTGAAAACTTCCCAATTTTGGCAAAAGACATAATCTTACAGATTCAAGAAGTTAAGCAAACCCCAAACAGGATAAACCCAAAGAAATAGGCACCAAGACACATCATAGTCAAACTTCTGATAAGAAAAAATATCTTGAAAGCAGTGAGAGAGAAATGGCACTTTACCTACAGAGGAGAAACAGCTTGAATGACAATGGATTTCTCATCAGAAACCATGAAGGCCGGAAGGAAATGGCGTGGCATTTTTCAAATCCTAAAAGAAAACAACTGTCAACCCAGAACTATATAGCCAGTGAAAATATCACTACATTCTACAAATTTTGGTATATTATGTTTTCATTTTCATTTAGTTCAAAATATTTTCTAATTTTCCTTCTGATTTCTTCTTTGATCCATGGGTTATTTAGAAGTGTTATATTTAGTTTCTAAGAATTCAAGGATTTTCCATATATCTTCTATTATTGATTTCTAATTTAATTCCATTGTGGTTATAAAACATATTGTGTATAACTTTAATCCTTTTAGATTTATTGAGACTTCTTTAATGGCCCAAAGTATGGTCTAACTTGCTAAATATCCCATGTGCACTTGAAAAGAATATGTGTTGTGCTTTTCTGCCTGGACTTTTCTATAAATGTCAATTAGGAATTTTGGTTGATAGTTTTGTTCAAGTCTTCTATTTCCCACTGATAGTCTACTTGTTTTACCAATTCTTTTTGCTAAAATCTCTATGATTGTAGATTTGTCTATTTCTTGCAGTTCTATCAGTTTTGCTTTGTGAATTTTAAAACTCTGTTATCCAGTGTCTAAACATTTAGGATTTTTATGGGCCCTTAATAAATTGATCCCATTATTGGTTTATAATGATCCTCTTAAACCTTATTAATATTTTTTGGTCTGAAATCTACTTTGTTAGATATTAATATAGTCACTGCAGCCTTTTTTGAATTAGTGTAAGCATGGTATATCTTTTTCCATCCTTACACTTTAAATCTATATGTCTGTGTTTAAAGTGGGTTTCTATAAATTCAGTGCAGTCATAATAATAATTTAAAAAGCACTGCAGATTTTTGGAGAAATGGAGAAACTAATTCTAAGTCTTCTATGGAAATTCAAAGGACAGAGAATAACTGAATCAACTTTGAAAAAAAAAGAACAAAGTTGGAGGACTAACACTACTGGATTTTAAGACTAATTATGAAACTGTAGTGATCAAGATAATGTGCTATTTGTCTAAAGATAGACAAATAGATCAGTGAGACGTAATAGAGAGTTCAGGAATAGAGGCATGCGTCTATGGTCAGCTGATTTTCAACAAAGGTTCCAAGGTAATTCAATGGAAAAGGATAATCTATTCAACAAATGGTACTGGAACAATGGTACAGCAATACAGCAAAAACAAAAGCAAAGGAAACCTAATTCTTTCCTCACACCATATATAAAAATTTACTCAAGACTTTTTATAGACCTTATTTTGCTAAAACTATAAAATTTCAGAGAAAATTTTGTGACTCTGGGTTTGATAAAGATTTCCTGTTACACTTTCCTCTGTGGAACTGAGACAGAGAAAAGAGAAAGAATTTGCTCAAAGTACCATCAATGAGGCCTGGAGGGACTGCCACCCATCAGGGGAGCAGCAGCCCCGATCCAAAGTCAGCCTTTCTTTTTTTTTTTCTTTTTTTTTTTTGTCTTTTGTCTTTTTCCGTGTCCGGGACTGGCAATGGGATCGCAACCCTCGGTGTTGCTCCCGTGCCTCGCTCAGCCAGTGAGCGGGAACCGGTCTGTATGTGGGATCCGAACCCTCGGGCGGGAGCGCCGCCGCGCTTCCCAAGCGGCGCACTATCCAGTGCGCCACCGGGCCGGCCCCCAGCCTTTCTTTTTATTGACAAGACAAGGAAGTTTCACAAGGAAAATCAGTTGATTCAATCATCAGAGAAGAACATAAGGACATAGGCAATGTTATGAAAGTTGTCCATGGCTAAGTATAGCTTAACAATGGAAACTAGTAATATCAGTAAATTAAAGTGACATTCCAAAGTACAATTAGTAAAGAGCTAAATTGGTCAAACTGGCTCATTATCTAAAGTATGACCTCTCCTTAAAAAAAAGTTACACTCTTATGATAAAATCTAAATACAATTATCTCTAAAGTTTCCCCCAACAGACAGCTTGTCCCTAGCAAACATTTTTTCCACAACTTTCCCTTCAGCAATTCTTAAAATCTCTTAACAGGATCGGTATGACAACCACCTGTCATCTCTAAAATAATTAAAGTATACAATCCCATACCTAACCAGTGATTAAGAGTTGATCAGATGGGCTTTGGTCACGCTATCTATGGGCTGTGGCCCCCTATCCGAGGGCTTTTGCCCCATACATGCATTTACCTAAAAACCTTATTCTAAAATCAAATGAGAATCAAGGTTTCTAACCCACTACAATTTTTTTTAAGATTTCTTAAATATGACAAAAAAAGCACAAACTATGAAAAAAGATCAACAAATTGGACTTAATAAAATTAAAACTTTTGTCCTTAATAAGATATTTTTATGAAAATGAAAAGGCAAGTTACAGACTGGGAGAAAGCGTTTGCCAAAGATACAAGTGTATTTGACAAAGTTCCTTTAGCTAGAATATATAAAGATCTCTTGCAACTAAATGATAAGAATATAAATAACACAAATAAGAATGGGCAAAAGATTTGAACAAACGCTTTACCAATGAAAGTATACTAATGGGAAATAAGCACTTGGAAAGATGCTAAACATCATTATTCATATAACCATAACCATGCTACAAATCTTGTTTATTTTGGTACACAAGCTCACTATTAAGAAATAAGAGCCATGCTTCACCTATAGAAATGATGCTACAATGTCCCCTCTGGAAATTGGCCTCTTACCTGGCTTATGGAATCCCAGACTTAGAGGGAGTAGATGTCCCTTCCCATTGGCCAGCAACATTGACATATATGAGTGTCTAAGGGAAAGAAAAGCCATACAGTCTTAGATGCAGCAGGTAAATCCTGGTAGAGGTAGACAGGATGATTCTGAGTTTTTTATCTTAGTAAAGCTGATAAGAGAATTAAATACTGCTTGCATCTCAAAAAATAAATTACAGCCCTAAAGGCTTTACAAAGCTTCCAGAAAGAAGTTAACTCTTACGCCTTAGTATCTAGTTATGTTAACTACACATTAACAAGGATATTAATGTGCATTAACCAACACTTCTTTTTACAGCTGTGTAAATAAAACTTGTCAGATAAAAAAATTCAAAATAATTATATTGAAAATTGCTAGTTTCGGGTAAATGAAGCCATGATTTAGGGTTAGAAATTTGACTACAGGGAGAAACTAGGGTGGTAAAACCGACACTGCCCTGTTACCACTAATGGATAAGCATGTAAACCATACCCTGCTGTCAAGATAATAAACACACTTAAAAACTGAGGTAGACAAAAAAGAACAGCTCCTGTCCCCCAAAATAAATGAAAACTTCAACATTTCTTGTAAGTCTGGACTCTCTAGCACAAACTACCTTATTATTCCTTCCACACTTACTAGCTACTGTAAAGTACAACTTTCCCTCTTCCATCTTTTCTTTGAGGATACTACATGAATTATATGATGTATATATAACATGTATGTTGTGTGGATTCCTTTCTTATTCAGTATGTTATACGTTATAGTTTTTTTGGTTTTTTTTTTTCCTTTTTTGTCTTTTTTTTTACTGACCGGTAACAGGATCGCAACCCTCGGTGTCACGCCCGTACCGGGGACCGGCAACGGGATCGCAACCCTCGGTGTTGCGCCCGCACTGCGCTCAGCCAGTGAGCGGGAACCAGTCTCCACATGGGATCTGAACCCTCGGCAGGAGCGCCACCACGCTCCCAAGCAGCGCACTCTCCAGTGTGCCACCGGACCGGCCCTAATTATTGTAGTTTTTGATGCTCCAATGGTCCCAAATTTGACTAGGGGAACCTCAAGTTAGCTTCCGTGAGGTTAGCTTCCACTGTGCATTTTTCCTCTGTATTCCCACCCAGGCTGTCTTGTCATGGCCCCATATAAGAGGTAGAAACCAGGAAATCTGGTTAAAAAAAAAAAAAAGTCACTTTGTGAGTGGAGTCTCTTGTGAGCTGGGCACGTTGGAGCAGCTCGGTGTAACCAGGGCCTGTGACCACCTCAGACCAGGGCTGAGCTTGCTGGCAAGACAGTCCGCCACCCTGCACCCCTCAGCCAGTTGGTCTCACAGGGTCTGCCCTTGGAGGATGAGGAGAGTCTTGAGATGTTGATTGAGTGACGAGTTTTTATCATAGCTGGGTCACCTCTCGGCACTGACTTTCAATTAGGACATGGTAGGATGTCTGAGGTGGCAGAGACAGAAAATTGAAGACTGCAAAGAGTTGAACAGTAGATTATATGTGCTTTGACAGAAATTTCTGTGAGAATATCCCCAGAAGCCCTCCAAGCAGAATTCTGGCACGTGTCTGGTGACCTGCCTGTGACAAAGAGAAGGAAGGCGGCAAAATGAAGCCTTCTGTGTGTCATAATGTGCTCCTGTGAGATATCTCGACATTCTACTCATCTTTTTCTTCTATAAGGAAAGACAGGCATCCTGCTAGATCTGCTTCATAACGATGTCCCTTCAGTCCTCACCTTGGCCATGGGTGATCCATGTAAAACTACACACAGCTCGTTGTGCAGTGACTGGACACAAAGCCACATGCAGAAATGTGGCCAGGTACGGCTGAGGTTGATTGGAAAGAGGAAGGGACAAAGGAATGACAGGGCCATGAAGACAACAGTGTTTGTTTGAATGAAGGAACCAGAAGCTGCAGCCAGTCAGGGGTGATGGTGATTGAGAGTCCTGAGGTGCTGACTGTACAGCATCATGAGTACAAGTGCCACTGAGTGTTCACTGTCATTTGGTTAATTTTATGTTATGTGAGTTTTAGCTCAACACATTTTAAAAAGAGAGAAAATGAGGATCAAGCAACAATTGCAGTCAATAATTTACTGTTCTCTACTTGTTTTGTAAATATGGCGCAACATGCGCCTGCTGTGTAAATTCCTGCCCTTCTCCTGGCCCAAGTTAGCTCTTAGTTCTCCCAGCTAAGCTGCCCCATGTCAGAAATTCATGCACCTTCCTATCTGCCTGCCCCACACAGAACCCCCCTTACCTGAGCTTCTCAGCAAGTATCTGCTTCTCTGCCAGCTCCTCCTCCTCAAACTGCAGCTTCTTCCTCAGCACAAACTCAAGGATGTCTCTGAACTCTTCACACTCTGAGAAGAGACAGACACACCTGCCTCACTGGAAAGCTGGACATGCTGCCTGGTCACTGCCGGCCTCTATGGGGGGATTCCACATCTTATTTCTCGACCTCCCAACTACATGGCCGTTATCTCGAAGATGAGGAAAGAGGAACTCCAAGGCACAAAAAGTAACTTGGCAAAGTAATTCAACTTATTTTGCAGAGCTAGAATTCTCATCTCCTGAGGTCTGCCTCTGAATCGCACACCATGTTATAAGGCCCTGCAGGGCCGGCCCGGTGGCGCACTCGGTAGAATGCAGCGCTTGGGAGCGCGGCGCTGCTCCCGCTGAGGGTTCGGATCCCATATAGAGACCGGTCCGCTCACTGGTTGAGCGCGGTGTGGGCGCAACACCAAGGGTTGTGATCCCATTACTGGTCATGAAAAAAGACAAAAAAAGGGGAAAAAAAAAAGGCCCTGCTGGGCCGGCCCGGTGGCGCACTGCTACAGTGCGCTGCTTGGGAGTGTGGCGGGGGGGCCCGCCCCGGGGTCGGGGCCCCCATACAGACCCGGTCCCCCCCACC